TGGAAAAGGACATGGAACTCTTTACTGTTTCGGTTCTTGTCTGCTGCAAAATTGCTTTCGAACAGAGGGAATATATTACTCAACTTTCAAGCTCGATATTTTTGGAACCAAAACAGCTAGTTTCCATACACAGAATTTTTTTCGCAAAAAGTCAATCTGTTGGCCCGTCAAAACCGGAGGTCGATATTTGGTCTGGTTCCAAAAATATTGAGCTTGCTGACTGTATTTTCATCTCTTTTTTTCTTTCTTGGCCTAGTGAAGAAACAGATAGAAATACATATTTTTTGCACTAATTTTGGAACAGGACATGGAACACTTTATTGTGATTCTTGTTAGGAAGCTCTAGAACCGATAGAACTAGTTCAGAATTGATTCGGAACTACTGGTCCTAATTATTATATACTGAGTCTATTTCCATCTTTCTCTTTTGGCTTGGTCAAGAAACAGAATAGATAGAAATAATTATTTTTGCATTAATTTTGGAACAGGACTCTTTACTGTTTCGGTTCTTGTTATGATGCTCTATAACCGATAAAACTGGTTCAAAATCGATTCAAAACTGTTCAGGAGTGCGTTTAGAAATGAAGTGTGAAGGTAGTTATTTATCCGAGTGTTCTGACGTCATCACTGGGAGTGCACTCTGGGTGCCCTATTTCTGAACGTATTAGGGCGTTACAGTGAATTATGACAAAGGAAATAGCTATTTATGTACCAAGGGGATTATGTAGATTATAATGCCCGAAGGCGAAACTAGCCCGAGGGCCTATGGCCCGAGGGATATATTTCGCCTGAAGGGCATTATAATCTTGAAATCCCCGTGGTGCATACAATGCTTTATTTTCTACTCAACACAATGTTTTTTCATCAATTTGTTATTAACAAAATCAGTTAAACTTGTGTGACAGAATATTGTTTTGTATTTTGACATGTACCTGTACCTGTGACCTGTACCTGTACCTGCGACCTGTACATAGAAACGAAATAAATTAATATATCTATAAACATCTCATAAGGCAAGGCAACGGTGGTGGTCCTGTGGGTTAACGCGCTGGACTACATGGGAAACATTGATGGTAGACCGGGTTCGAATCCTGGCTAGACCGAAAATTATTTTCGGTCAGACATTTAGTGGCTGCCTAAGTGCAAATTAATAGAACAACAACAACAAAAACACCTTAAGGTATTATAAGCGGGCGTTATAGATCATAACGCCCGCAAAAGCGGGCGTTATGGATCAGGTTGTTATAGGTGTGTTAACGTATTTCGTTTCCTAGGTATTATGGATCTATAATAGTAAAGTAGAAAATAAATAACTTTAAAATCACGTCAAACCCAATAAAAACCGCGGGACGTTTTTTGACCCAGTCCCTGACTCACTATAAAATGTCAGTTATTCTTGTGGTTATTCTCATTAGTTCAAAAACTACACGTTTCAGGTGAGCAGAGGTCCACCCATAAGTTCTGCAGTAATCTACTCATTTGTACTTGAACAACTTCTAACCTCCTCTAAAGACTTCAGCCCATAGCCATTTTCCAGTCATTTGCTCTATTACTTGTCCCCCGATCTAACTCAAGATATACACCAAATAAAAATAAGCCGTAATTCCATAGAAAAAACCGCGTTTACAGTTAACAATGGTCATTTTGAATACTTAAAGATACCCTTTGGATTGAAAAATGCACCAGCCACATTTCAAAGAATGATGAACCAAACACAGTTCTCTTTCAAAGACGTCACTTCTCTTTCCATAGACGTATCCGGCCCGAGAGGGGGGTTAGGTTACTCCTTTAATATAGAGCCAAATAGAGCTACACGTGCACTACAAAAACGAAACAAAACACGTAACCGAAGCCCGACTTTAACGTTGACTTTTTCTATGGAAAATTTACGGCGAATTTTGTTTTTTTTTTCAAAAAAAAAAGGAAGCGCAAGCGTTGTCGCGGAGGCTGCCATGCTGCTTTTCTGACGCGGTTCGGCGGGTTTGGCGCACGGTGGCGCTGCGATCGCGCGTGTGTGGTGGTGGTGGCGCCGGCCGGCGACAACTGCGACGTTGTCACGTTTAGTTTTTATCCGAATTTAACCAGGAAAGAAAATCAAAATTTAATATACTGCACTGGGCCAGTTTGAAATTACCGTTTTTAACAATAAAAACCGTAAAATTCAAATTATTAGTCCGAAATCTGTCATACGTCATAATTTTCCATGGCCATGTTAGGAATAGGCGCTTTGTTTTTGGTTTTTTTTTTTCATCGTCGTGTCATTTTGCATGTAATAAACAAAGACAGACATAGGTATTGAAAAAAAGATTTCATTAATTGAAAAATGTTCAATGTTGTTCACGGTCAAGGTTGTCTAGTAAAGGCTAGTAAAGGGTAACTTGATGACGTCATCTAGAGTGCCTTATGGAGATTGGCATTAGTTGTATTCCTTTCAAGGATTAAAAACACTAGAGCTACTCGCTACGGTGTTAGTCGCTTCCGATTTCAAAGGAACATATGCGTAGTACAACCAATGAAAAACATTTTACGAAAGAAATAAGCGCGTAATGCCCCGGAGGCCCCGGAGCTGTTCTAGAGCTCCACAAAGGTGTGAAAGGCATACAACACAACTTTTATGTTGAGGCCAATGAACTATTTGAGGTGCCCCAGATGACGTCATAAGAGTTATCAGGCAACCTACTTGATAGAATAATTAGTGCAAAAAACATTTCCGTCATTTTCTTTCACATGCTAGTAAAATAAGACACGAATACACTCAGTGCGCACAAAACCAATAGATTTTACTATATTTATTATTAAATTGACTGTATTTTCATCTCTCTCTCTCTCTTGGTTTGGTAAAGGAATAAATAGTTAATACATCTTTTTGCACTAATTTTACAGTGACCGTGTTCGTTTTTGTCATTTTTTTCGTTGATTTGCTCCGAAATTTTGACAGACATGTGACTTGATCAAACAGTTTCAATTCACAAATCACGTGCCTGTCAAAATTCCGGAGCAGATCGACGAAAAATTGACAAAAACGAACACGGCTAATGTTACTGCGAACCAAGGTTGTTTCATACAGTAAAATCCATTGATAAATTCAGTGCGCACTGACTATATTCATGTCCTATTTCACTAGCATGTGAAAAAAAGTGACGGAAATACATGTTTTTTGCACTAAATCTACCAATCAGTGGCGGCTCGTGACTATTTCAAGTGAGGAGGCTAAAAAATCACGAATTACGTAGCCCAGGAATGTTAGGCAAAATTTCGCCTAAACCTCAAAAAAAATCCCAGAGTTTTTCTGAGACCTGTTTTGGGTTCCTGTGATAGTGCTCTACAACGCATAAAAAGTTCCCAAAAATCCCCTCATTGTCATTGGCATTTTTTTAGAAGCCTTTTAAATATATACAACTTTTACACCAAAAGTTGAGAAGTAGCGATAGTTTCATGTTCACTGTGAGAGGTCGGGGCAATGTTCATATGCATTTGTTCGGTTGGAATCATAGGCGCCGGAACCATGGGGGCAATGGGGGCTTGAGCCCCCATAGTGAATTTGGTATTGTATGTAGTAAGTGTAATGGGTAGGCACAGAAATATTGAGTCCCAGCCTAACTATTAATTTTTATATCAAACTTGTGCGTGTAATGTTTTTGTTGTTTTTGCTATACCTACTTCAACAAACATTTTGAATATTTTGTTGTGTGGTATTCGAACCTCTATTTTCAATAAGTCTGTTCAAGTATGTTCACATCACATGAATATATCATGATGTACCAATACACTGGCCTTTTTTACTTAGTTTATCATGGACTCATGAACAATTTATATACAGACCGGAAAACCTACTAGTTACATAGGGAGTAATAAGACGAATTAGCTTGTACCCGGTTAAGGCGAATCGAACCGGTGCTGCCCCAGGGCCGTAGCCAGGGGGGGGCATTGGGGGGCAATGCCCTATCTTAAATGATGATGCCCTACCTTTAAAAATCAACATGCATTTAGGTTTCTTTAGAAAATTTAAGAGTAGATAATGCCTGAAGTAGATAGGCCTGAAATCGAGTAAAACCAGGAACACATCTATCATGCATTCTTCCGATCCGGCTCCGATCATACAATCAAGGTCCTTATTCTTGGAACAGGGAAGCAGCGGAACACTCGTTCTCCTTAGGAACGCTGTTCCCTATTCCAAGAATAAGGTATCGTGTATGATCGGAGTCGGTCTGGAAGAATGCATGATAGATGTGTCCCGGGCTTAAGCGAGGATGAATGTTTCCGAAAATGCCCAAATCTAATGAACAATGTTTGACGTTTGCACAAAGGAAGTTTTTTGTTTTCAAAGAGTGCGAATGACCCAAGGCGGCCGGCGCGAGAATCCGCGCCATTTCGTTCACTTGCCAGAGATGTTATTAATTGCAAGGTTGTTTGATAGAGGCGAGAGAGGTAGGATGCCTGGTAAATTTATGATGTCATCTGGGGTGCCTCAACATAATGCAAATCTCTAGAAGGTATCCTAGATCAGATGTGTCATCAAATTACCCCTTACCATACAACCTGAACCTTGATTTATTGAAAAATTTGCCTTCGGCGCCATTAGCCTCATTTTGTTTACCTATAAGCCTCCCGGCACCGGTATTCATATGAATCCCGGTTATGACGCTTTTTTAATGGAGACAACAACCACCGGTAACTGTTGTGGATCCCGGCTATTGCAATACAAGATGTTACTAATTAATAATTATTATGTTCATTGGTATTGCTAAATTTTGGTAATGGGGCAGAATTATTATGTAGGGTGAAAAAAGTAAACGAAGTCGGGCGCGATAAGCTTTTATTTATGGGAAATAAAATTATGACTTTTGTATATATATATGTATCATCACACAGGGTGCCCCAAAATTTGAGGTTAATATTTTAACTGCGGATTCTACATCTAAAATCAAGAACAAAAGTTCCCATAAACATACCCTATTTCAGAGATACGCAGGGTGTGAAAAAAGCTATAGTCCCGAATAATGAATGAAAATAAACCATACATACCCTTTTCAAACCACTACGACGACAAATGGATTAACGAAGTACTATTACCACTCTAATACCAATATCACAACAAGAATAGTATATTCTTCAACGAGCACATAATGATGGCTATTATTCACGAGAATAAAAATTCAAACACGAGCCGAATGCGAGTGTTGGAATCATTCGAGTGAATAATAGCCATTATTTGCGAGTAGAAGACTATACTTTCTCTTCAAACTTTTTGAAAGAAAATCATTAGTTTTTGTAAAAAAAAAACAATCATCAAAAGTCTAAACCCGCCTTAATTGAAAGTTTAGTGATCTGACAGCAGACGTCAGTCGTGTTTTGTTTGTATTGTCTCGTTGCGGCCCGTGTATTCCGAAAATATGGAGAATTTGATTGGTCGACAGGCCGTGGATTCCGGTTTGGAATCCACGGGGCGTGTAGAATTCGTATCATTAATCAATTTAATTTCGAGCAAGAATGAATGTATTATTTAATGTTCGAAGAGAAACAATATTACACAAAAGCTGTTTCCAAATTATTTACAGCCTGAAGCAGCAAGAGAAACACTACTTTGAATTTTGAATCCAATAGCCAGTATCCACGATAAATCCCGGCGGTCGTTGATCACGTCATTGAAAACGCGTCGTAACCGGGATTCGTATGGATACCGGTTAAGCTGTGTACCGGTGCCGGGAGGCTAGACACAGCGATAAAAAAATTAAGGGGGGGGCAAGTAGTGTATGCCCTATGTCAAATTTATCATGCCCTACCTTAAATTTGACTCTAGCCACGGCCCAGTGCTGCCCACTGGCGACTGGCGTGGCCAGGAAAGGGGACAAAGTGGCATTTGCTCCCTTCCCCCAAAGGCCTTTAAATTTTATTAATGATTCCAAATTGAAATAAACAAAGAATCAATTCAAGTCCTACGTGAATATTCCAATACATACATTATAATATAAGTAACGTTCTACTATAAATTCTCATCAATATTTGTTTAAATGGCCGCATCCCCGCCAAAAATACCGTGAAAGGACCCAAAAATTTCTTGCCTGCGGCGCTTTCCCTTCTGCAGCGCTTGCGGCGCAGCTGCAAGGATCACTTCCTGCGAATTTACCCTCGCCTCAAGGCAAAATCCTGGCTACGCCAATGGTGCTGCTCTAAAGCCGAGTATAGCCGATTTGCCGAAGATGCACGAATTTTAATCATATGCAGGGACCTGAAGGGATGATCAATGATCCAGTGTATAGCGATCCTGCAGTGAAATGGGTATCTGCCAACTGTTTCCATTTAAGTCTATGTGTCTAGTAGCCTAGTCCTGTTTGTCTAATTGATTCTACTTATATATTAATTTTTGGAGCCCGAGCCCCCATATTAATTTCGAAATTCCGGCGCCTATGGTTGGAATGCATGACCACTGTACCAACACACAAGAAAAACATCACGGTAAGTCGTATTTCCCGATTAAAAGGGTGTAACTCGCGGCAAATAGCGCTCAAATCCGTAGAAGTCCTGTTTCTTTCGCGTTTCTTCGTTCCGAACTTTATTTTAAGCTCTGGTGGCATTGAAGAAGTGTTCGGGAGTGACTGGAACAGTACTGGCGTTAAACTGTATCTCAAAGTACCGGAAATAAGCCGCGTATCTGAACTCGAAACAGAGATATGCCAGAAAATGTGGCCGCTGGCGCTGGTCTGCTAGCGTGATGGGCACGTGTGCTACAAGTACGTGTGTGTGTGTGTGTGTGTGTGTGTGTGTGTGTGTGTGAGTGTGAGTGTGTGTGTGTGAGTGTGTGTGTGTGAGGGTGTGTGTATATGTGTAAGTGCGTGTGTGTGTGTGTGTAAGTGCGTGTGTGCTTTTTTTCTTGGGAACGGAGAAAACAAGGAAATCCTTATTGCAATGTTGAGGCCAGTTGTTGGAGGGTGCTGAACTGACGGTGCTGCAAGCCAGTGGAGACGCAGATCAGCTGATTGTAGCAACTGCGCTTCAGTTGTCAGTCACAGAAAAATCAGTTGTCGTGTCTGCAACAGACACCGATATCTTCGCCATGCTCATCCAGAGATATTCTTCAGAAAACGATGTCTATATGCTGATGCCTGGAGTAAGTGGCAGGTCTGATAAAGTCCATAACATTCGTTCAGAGCAATCGAGTCTCGGTGCAGTCAAGAACGTACTTCTATTTGCACATGCAATGACCGGATCTGATACCACATCTGCGTTCTTCGGCAAAGGCAAAACAGCATTACTTGACCTTCTGATGAAAAATGAAGAGCTGATGTCAGAAGTGCAGCTGTTAAACTCACAGGGAGCGGAGATGTGTCGCTAGGAGAGCGAACTATCTGCGCTCTGTACGGTGTGCCCGAAAGTCAGACGCTCCTAGGCGTGCGCCACAGCATCTTCAGCCAACGGCCAGGAAAGATCTCACCCCGGAGTTGAAGTTAAAACTCATGCCACCCACGAGTGGGGCTGCATGCTACCATACACTTCGCGTGTATCTTCAGGTAAATATTGTGATTTTTTTTTTCGTCTTGCGTTACTTTTGAATATGTTGTACTCATTCCTATGTACGGTGCAGGTGCAGGATGGGCTCGGGCACAAACTGGATGCCACACAGTTTGGCTGGCGAGAAGGTTTTGGTCGATTGCTGCCAGTTATTTCGGACGACCCTCCTGCTCCGGACAGCCTACTGAAACTTTTCAGATGTGGCTGCACTACGGGCTACAATCAGAACTGTCGATGCCGCCGGGCAAGTATGCCCTGCAAGTCCTATTGCGCAAGATGTGAAGGCAACTGCACCAATAACGAGCCTGTAGTTCTCGATGACGCAGAAACAGACGCTGACGAAGACATCGATGACCCGACGATGTAAAGTAAGTAAACACTTGCTTATGGGCTTTAGACCATTCGTCCAAGTAGCATGCATTAACAACGAGTGCTTTCCTCGTTTCAGGAAAACGTCCCTGTGAGAAACTCTTCAGATAATTTCTGATGTATTTTGAAAGATTTTACAAATTTAGTACTAGTTTTTTCTTTAATTAAAAAAAATATGTGCCAAGTACTTAATTCAATTTCAATAAGAAACAATACTGTTTCTAACTCAGAAATTAGGTACCAGTTCTGTTACAGTCACTCCTGAACACTTCTGCAATGCCACCAACAGACAAAACGAGGTTAGGAACGAAGAAACGCGAAAGAAACGGGAATTCTGCGGGTTTGAGCGAGATTTGCCGCGAGTTACACCCTTTTTATCGGGCAATACGACTTACCGTGATGTTTTTCTGGTGAGTTGGTACAGTGGTCATGCATACCAACCGAACAAATGCATATGAAAATGGCCCCGACCTCTCACAGCGAACATGAAACTATTGCTACTTTTCAACTTTTAGTGTGGAAGTAGTTTATATTTAGAAGGCCTCTAAAAAAATGCCAATGAGGGGATTTTTGGGGACTTTTTAAATGTTGTAGAGCACTATCACAGGAACCCAAAACAGGTCTCAGAAAAACTCTGGGATTTTTTTTGACCTATATTCCCGTTTCCCGGACTAACGGTAAGGTAACCACTGCGCAGCAAACATCATTTGTTTTGGGGTGCTCATGCCCTCAATAATTATTGTGTGATAAATGAAATATATTGAAATTTCATCTCGTTACATGGGAATTTTTCGGAATAAAACCGAAATTCCATATTTTTAGTTGGAAATTCTTCGGCATTACTAAAATTCAGTAAGAAGTGAAATTTCATATTATTGGGAATTTCGGTGAAATTTCACATGATTGTTTAAAATTCCTCCATGTAATTCATTTAGGATTTCGCGTAATTTGATCGGAATTTCATTGCAATTTCAAATAATTCGAGATGAATAGAAATTTAATGTGAATTATATGGAAACTCCGCAAAAATTTCACATCTAATTCCTTTTTCAGAATAACATAATTATTCTACCGAAATTCCTGGAAATTCCACTAAATTATGGAATTTTGAGACTTTAACAGATTTTTGGGGATTCAAAAAAATATTTGGGAATTTTAAAGGAAATATTTTTCAGGAATGTTAATGATTTTATTTAGAATATTTCCGATTTTTGATTGACTCCAAATTATCCGCTGACCAATAGAATTATAGATTGGGAGGCCCCGTGATTAAAATAACTCTAGCTCTTCGGGCTCGCGTATAACTTCGGCCCTTCGGGCTCGCATATAACTCCGGCCCTTCGGGCCGGTATTACTGAGTATCCCAGATTCTCAGATACTTGTCGTGAAGGCGCGGGATTGATTGAAATAATGTCAGATTTTTCTAAATTACATTGAAATATCGAAAGTGTAATTTGTGAATTGTTATTTTAATTAGAAATCAGGAATAAAAAACTGAGATTGAATTTTCAATTTTTTGGGGGAGGCTTAGCGTCCCCTGCCTCCTCTGACGAGCCGCCACTGGCCATTTCTGTTGTGAATTGTTGTTAGACTAACGCCAAATGTTGTTCAAGAAAAGAAGAGAGCGCATAATGTTGTCATGTCAAAATAAGATTTATGTCATATTATTATGTCATTGATAAAAACATCTAGAATTGTAAAAAATCTTTTGCAAAATAATAAAAATAACATTTTTTTTTTTTTTCCTTTCTGTCATCATCATTTTCCATGTATTAAACAAAGACAGATATAGGTATTGAGAACAATATTTTATATAAGCGATTTATTAATGTTGTTCGCAGTCAAGGTTCCTGAAGTTTATAGGTTGTCTGGTAATGGGTAACTTGATGACGCATCTTGGATGCTTTATAGTGATTTACATTACGTTTATGCATACAGATGACGTCATGAAAATTATCAGGCAACCTCTCACTTTTAAACAACCTCGGTTCGCAGTCAAAGTTCTTTGAGAGACGTATGTTGCATAACTTTTATGATGTCATCTGTATGCCTAGATCATTGGCCTAAACCTAATGCAAATCTCAGAGATATGCCTAGTACTCATAACTGCGAAATTCGCATTTTTTTGACGTTGCGTTGACAATTTGACGTTTTATGCGTGTATCAAACGTCAAATTGTCAAAGCAATGTCAAAAAAATGCGAATTTCACAGTTATGAGGTATCGCCATTTTTATCACTTTTTACTCATGCCGTTTCCTATTAGTAGATCTAGTGCAGTTTTTTTTATTTCTGTCTTTTTCTTCCACAAATTGATGAAAAAGGATGAAAATACACTCAATGTGTATTAAATCTACCAATCGGAAACGCCATTAGTTTTAACGTTGACAACTTCAATCTGACAGATTTTTCACAGCATAACCTCACTTTTGGTCGGTTACAGATTGTTGTTTTTGGCGATTTTTCCTGCTTTATCTCAAATATTTTTATCAAAGCAATGTTTTAAAAGATTTCTTTTTGTTATTTTTGAAGTTATAAGTTGTTCATGACCCAGTAGCGCACCTAGGTGGGGGGTTTTGTGCCAGGGCCCCCCCTAGGCAGCCCCTCTAATACTGTGTTTTTACGATTAAAAATGTAACAACATCAAAGCGTGGCACCCTCATGCCTCATTCTTACTTGCTCAAAACTCACTCTTCTTTAACATTGCTTCGCAAATTTGACGTTTGATACACGCATAAAATGTCAAATTGTCGAAGCAATGTCAAAAAAAGAACGATTTTTGCGCAAGTGAGAATGAGGCATGACAGCTCAATTTTTTTTAAGATTTTCAGTCACAAGCCACAACCTATGTAGGCCCCCCCCCCTCCCAAACATATTTTCTGGGTGCGCCACTGTCATGACCTATTTTTCCAACACCTGATTTGACAAGTGATAAAAATGGCGGTCCATAGTTACCCGTTACCAGACAATCTTGGTTCGCGGTCAAGGTTTCTGACTAAAGTTAATAGAGTTGTTATTTGGTTTTAACCAATGCATTTCCGCAGTCGCGGTTTTTATCAAAGTAGGGAAAGTTGTGACGTCACAGATCAGCTGATTTGTTTTTGGTATTTACCACTTATAACCGATTATAACCCAGCTTTGGACTTGGGTTAATCTTTTGGTTACAGCTTTTTGATGTTATTGTTATTATTATGGGGATTGGTATTGATGTTTTGTGATTTTGTCACTATGTAGATCATTCCGGAAAAAAATCTCTTTGAAAAACGAAACTAACGAGAGATTCCGCTCCATTTTTTGTACCTTAACAAAAAACCTTTAGTTTTTTTCACGCGGCTCCGGTTTAACTAACCGGGTTACAAAACGGTTAGAGAAATGACATACCGTTTTCTAACCCGGCTACATAGTGACGTAATGGATATCTACCACTCAAATTTGAGCAGTATGTTGGGGTTTATTAAACCGGAACCATATAAGAAGGGTTATTCAATCCATCATCTGTCAAAAAAGAAAATTCAATATGGCGTGGCGGCCAAGCAAGTCTGTTTTGAATATGTTTTTATGCGTAATTTAAATTAGTTTGCTTAGAGTTTTGTTTGCAACTTTGAATTTGATTATTTAATAAAATATTTGTTGACTATATAGGTACCTAAACTATTGAATCGGGCAGAAATTAGATTTTTTTTTTTTTGTATTTTGGCCCATGTGTGGCCGCCACGCCATCTTGAATATCACGTGGTTTGGATTGCCTAATAACCAAATCATTTCAGCGGTCAGTTCCTTGGGATATGATTCTTGAATGGTGACGGCTATGACGTCACACTTGGCTGTCAAAATTATCAACCAAAAGAATAACCACGGTATTTATTGATTAATAATCATTCCAGGCTAAAAATTGCTTTAGATGGTTTGGTAAGGGGCAACTTGATGATATCATCTGTGGTGCCTTATAGAGATTTGCATTATAGCCGTGTTTGGCATTGTCGTCTTTTTCGTCGATTTGTTTCGAAATTTTGACAGGCACGTGATTTGTGAATTGAAACTATCTGATTACGTCACGTGTCTGTTAAAATTTCGGAGCAAATCGACGAAAAAAATAACCGAACACAACTTATATTGAGGCATCCCAGATGACGTCATAAAAGTTAACCTAGGGCCTAATTTATAGTCACTCCTCATTCCTTGAGGCCAGCTTCTCATGAGCGTAAACTTGACATAACTGGCGCAAATGCTGAATTCGTAAATTTTGGCGCATGAAGTAGAGAATTTACGCCGTTCGCGTATGTCAAATTATATTCTTTTTCTAAATTTTGAAATATTTCTTTGAATTTTGATTGTAATTTGTATTTGTTTTTGCTTTATTTCCAAATAGTTACAAGAAAACGAAACGGTTGCCACCTTAACCTTTAAAAACGCTGAATTTCTACGCGAAAAGTTGAACTTCGGTCAACTTTTGGCGTATCTGCGGCAGAATGTCAACGTATCCAATATGGCGGGATTTTGGCCAATCCGAATTCTGTATTCAGATACGCTGTCACGCCATAAATGTCAAATTACGCTCATGAGAAGCCGCCTTTAATCACAAAAATCAAGAAAACGAAAGGGTTGCAACCTCAACCTCTAAAAACGTTGAATTTTTACGCGAAAAGTTGAACTTGGCTCTGAGACTTGGCTCAACTTTTGGCGTATCTGCGGCAGAGTGTCAGCGTATCCAATATGGCGAGATTTTAGCCAATCAGAATTCTGCATTCAGGTACGCTGTCACGTTATAAATGTCAAATTACGCTCATGGGAAGCCGCCCTAAGGGCAAATCCTCATTAGCGTATAGTCTGGCTAGTGGTAACTTGGTAGAGACGAAAGGGGGAAGAAAAATGGGGCGTAACCTAAACATATTCACTGACACCTCGACTGTGTGATGACTGATGATATAAGTGCTAAAAGTGACATTTTATTTTGTGAAAAGGGAAGTTTTCACTTTTAACACCAGTGTGATAAAATGGCATTTTAGACACTGACAGGATCCGTTAAAAATGACACTTTTAGCGACGTTTGTAGAAAAAATGTATTTCTATCTGTTTCTTTACCAGGCCGGAAGAGAGAGATGAAAATAAAGTCAATTTAATAATAATTATAATGAAATCCATTGGTAAGCTGAGTATTGAGTGCGTACTGAATGTATTCGTGTCCTTTTCTACTAGCATATGAAAGAGTGACGAAAATACATGTTTTTTACACTAATTCTATCAACGGTTTTCGTCCTCAAAACCGTTCTGAACTAGTTCTATTAGTGCTAGTGGAGCCTCCTAACAACAACTGAAACAGTAAAGAGTTCCATGTCCTGTTCTAAAATTGGAGCAAAAAAAAGTATTTCTGTGTGTGTTTCTTTATCAAGCTAAAAGAAAGAGATGAAAATATAATCAGTTAGAGAGAGAGAGAGTAAAAGTATTTGATACACAACCAATGTGAGTTCGATTTTGCACTCCACAGAGCAGAACAGTATGAGCATGGATATCGTGACGTCATACGCTGTCATAAGCCCAACGCAAAAGAGAACAGTTTGAGAGCTAAAACGAACATGATCTTATTGTTTCGAGCGCGCTCAGAGTTTACAAAGTGTAGATCCGAACACGACCTTTATTCGTACAACTAGGTTGCGTTTAAAAATTGCACTCCGAGTGTGAGAGTGACCCTAGAGTAACTCTAACACGTTCATAAATTAACTAGTGCTTACTCGGAGCGTTACGCGGAAATCGTTCAGAAATCGAGAGTGAACGTGCTCAGAGTGCGCCCAAATTACCCCACTTATTTTTATTTGGTGGTAACCTTGAGTCAAATCGGGGGACAAGTAATAGACCAAATGACTGGAAAATTGCTATGGAATAGGGTTGACAAACTATCGAAAAAAAAACTATCGATAGTGATATCGATAGAATGGCTTATCTATCGATAGTAACTATCGATTGTACTATCGATAGTTTGCCCTGACCAAAGTAACCAAATTTCTAATTAATTACGAAATAAATTTATCAAATAACAACAATAACATCATAACCTTAAATAAACATTAACCGCCAATCCCTACCAAGTCCAGTCTCGTTTTGTCCTCGCCAGAGTGTGGGCGGTTGGTTTAAGGAGCTCAAAGAGCTTCACCGGGTGGTGCACTAGAGGCGTGTAGAGACCAAATTTTGGCTCACCTCCGCGAGTAAAAACCGAGATTCATCGCCATCCGTGGATTTGTTTGCGTCTTTTTGACTAAGCCGGCTTAGATTCCTAGATAAACAGAAGGTTTACACGCGTGGTTACGTTGGCAAAATGGCGGCCAGAGTCTGAGACTCGTGAAAACGCTGTTTGTTTTGACAGAAAAAGGTTATATCCGGTTTCAGCGATTGATCAAGGCAAATCCTGGATGTGCCTTTCATATTAAGAAAAATTGAAGATAGAAGAAAAGAGTGAAACAAATAGGGGACCTATGATATGGCCTAGAGCCAGACAATATCAGGGTCGCCACGAAATTGTGCTGGCAAATTGCCTCAGTAGCAGTGCCATTAAAACAAACAACAACAACAACAACAACAACCTACCAAGTCCATGAAAGTCACTCGTCACATTGCTCGCCATTCCTGTTAACCTAAAAATTAAAAATTGGCAGCACAGCATGTCTTCCCCAAAAAATAATTACACATTTCTCAAAACAGCTACAGATTTCTTTATATTCACTCGTTATTGATTCAGAAACCGGCCCTCAAGAGTTTGGAACACTCGAGCTACTCGCTCCGGTGTTAGTCGACCCCGATTTGAAAGGAAGAAATACGTGGTGCAACATTTTTCGAAATGGAATAAGCGCATAACGCTACGGAGCTATTCCAGAGTTCCTCCTAGGTGTGAAAGGAATACAATTATTGCAACTGGGCTCGCTTACCCTGAAGTTAAAACCAACTCGGAGGTGACTCGCTTTTGAGAAACCGGCCATTTGGAACTATCGATAGTGGTACAGGTCTATCGATACTATCGAAAATGAAAAAAATATCGATAGTATCGATATTCCTATCGATAGTTTGTTATCCCTAGGATACGACGATGATACAAAATGGTGGAGCTACCGCGTGCTTTTTAATGCGACGTCAGGTTTGCCGCTTTTTTTTTTAATCGCTCCTTTTATTTTGTAATTAAAAAATTCTCATCACTCCTTTAAAATCAAGCAAACGGTACACTCTTCCTTATTACTGACCATGCCCCAACAACCCACATTAACAGAACATAACCTCAAAAAATCATAACAATTTATTTTATTCCACAGAAGCCCTGCTCAAGACCGATTTACTAGAAGACATACCAAACATTGCCGCACAAGCCCTAGAAAACTCAGAAAGAGTTCCCGCTCTAAAAGACGTCATTGGAGAATATCTGATTCCATTGGTACTTAGAAATATAGGATGCTCAGACGCCGGAGTGGACAAAACAGCTCAGACTACCCTGGTGCATCTCATACAGCGAGACTATGTCACACAAACCCAGGCCGAAATCAAAATATGCCCCTCGATTTTGGCCCTTACGAAAATGGAAAGTCAGCATCAACTAGATGTCAACACTGGTGCTATTATGGTAAGAATTAATTGCTACTGTATTTTTTCATTTATTGATAATGCTATTATAACCAATCAAATGCTATTGCTTTATGAAAGATATGTGTAGTGAGATGTTTTATTTAAATTTTGTCTCACTACCTTGTCTTTCATGTAGCGGCTAGCAAAAACTTCAACATCAACACCCTGGAGGAAATACTAAATAAGTTTGCCATTGCTCTTCAAAGTTGGACGTTTTAGATAATTGTGAATTCTATAATGGCCAGCTTTGATGAGCAATGTTGGATTTCGGAAGCTCGAGAGACAGTGTGATGTTTGTTACCTGACATCATCAACTTGGCTGTGAACTCTTGATTTTATACTTGATATCATAGCCACTTTGATGAGTTAGGTGGCAAACACGATCGCCCCAATGGATCATGGACGCTGGTGGATGGATTTTAGTTATAGTTTTTTTTGTGTTTTATTGTTAACAATATGTAATAATAATTGTTTTAGGTATTTTTATATGTATTTTGTTACTACGTCAATAGGGAACTTTGCAATTTTTTTAAATCATTTATTTATGCCTTGAGAGAGTATTCCCCTGAAACTCAATAACAACTTAGTGAAAAATGTTATATCGGGTATTTATTATGTAGAGTTCGAGTAAACACTGCTTTGTTCTTTTATCCCTGTTCTTCTCATTATAAAAAAAAGACGAAAAATGCTCCAAGCGCTCAGTGTTTCAAGACGAACTCACGGTATGATCATGATGGACAGTTGCTAACAGACACCGACAGATCATACGCTGAAAATAATTTGAATTTTTCCACATTTTTAATTCCTTATTGGCTTGATTTGAGTTAGTTTAAAGTTGAGTTTCGATGAAAATTGGCTTAGTTTGAGTTAGTTTAAAGTTGAATTTTGGCCGTTTGCAATAAAAAATAGCATATTCTTCAACGAGCATATAATAATAGCCATTATATGCGAGTAGAAGACTATACTTTCTCTTCGAAATCTTTGAAAGAAAATCATTAGTTTTTGTGAGAAATAACAATTATCAAAAGTATAAACCCACCTTAATTTTTTTAAATTGAAAGTTTCGTGATCTGACAGTAGATGTCAGTCACGCATTGTTTGTATTGTCTCGTTGCAGCCCGTGTATTCCGAAAATATGGAGAATTTGATTGGTCAATAGGCCATGGATTCCAATTATTATTCACGGGGCGTGTAGAATTCGTATCATTAATCAGTTTAATATCAAGCAAGAATGAATGTATTATTTAATGTTCGAAGAGAAAATTGTTTTTTTCACTGATATAGTTTTTAATTAATGTATATTCTTATGATTTATAGTAATATTTTCATGTTTAAATTTTTTTGTCAAGTTCCCTATTATTCCTTTGTATTTGAATCCTCAAAACAGTGTTGGTGCCAAGGATACATAACATCGTATAATCTTTTCAAAGTAAGTTGAAAAAAGGTAAAGATAATATAAATATTTTCATAAAAAATGCACTGTTACTAGTCAGCCAGCAGTTGTATTTTATTTTTACGTTTTTTCAGTTGGTTATGAAAATACTATACCTTATTTTTCAATTTAAATTCTGGAATTTTCATTATTTCTCCTATTCCAGGCTCTTGATTTTTTGTCCAAATGATTTGAATTTTTACTATGTTGTGCCTCTAAGCCTCAAAAATATTCACTCAAAATTTCATATTTGCGTTTCAAGTAGTTTTTGAGTAAATGGTTAATATGTAAAGGCATGTCATATTAGAAGAAAATGTCTATTTTCAAAAATCTTGTAACTTTGCAATTTTTTGTTCGATTAATTTAAATTTCTAGTATGTTTTGTCTCTAAGCCTCAAAAATATTCCCTCAAAATCTCATATTCGTGCCTCGAATAGTTTTTGAGTAAATGGTCAAAATGTGGAGGCATGTCAATCTTGGAACTTTGCAATTTTTCAGTCAATTGCTTTGAGTTTTCAGTATGTTTTGCCTCTAAGCCTCAAAAATATGTCCTCATAATTTCATATTTGTGGCTCAAGTAGTTTTTGAGTAAATGGTCAAAATGTGGAGGTATGTCATATCAGCCCTATAGAAGAAAATGTCCATTTTTTAAGATCTTGTAACTTTGCAATTTTTCAGTCAATTGCTTTGAGTTTTCAGTATGTTTTGCCTCTAAGCCTCAAAAATATGTCCTCAAAATTTCATATTTGTGGCTCAAGTAGTTTTTGAGTAAATGGTCAAAATGTGGAGGTATGTCATATCAGCTATAGAAGAAAATGTCCATTTTTTAAGATCTTGTAACTTTGCAATTTTTCAGTCAATTGCTTTGAGTTTTCAGTATGTTTTGTTTCCAAGCCTCAAAAAGATGTCCTCAAAATCTCATATTTGTGGCTCAAGTAGTTTTTAAGTAAATGGTCAAAATGTGGAGGCATGTCATATCAGCCCTATAGAAGAAAATGTCCATTTTTTAAGATCTTGTAACTTTGCAATTTTTCAGTCAATTGCTTTGAGTTTTCAGTATGTTTTGCCCCTAAGCCTCAAAAATATGTCCTCAAAATTTCATATTTGTGGCTCAAATAGTTTTTGAGTAAATGGTCAAAATGTGGAGGCATGTCATATCAGCCCTATAGAAGAAAATGTCCATTTTTTAAGATCTTGTAACTTTGCAATTTTTCAGTCAATTGCTTTGAGTTTTCAGTATGTTTTGCCTCTAAGCCTCAAAAATATGTCCTCAAAATCTCATATTTGTGGCTCAAGTAGTTTTTGAGTAAATGGTCAAAATGTGGAGGCATGTCATATCAGCCCTATAGAAGAAAATGTCCATTTTTTAAGATCTTGTAACTTTGCAATTTTTCAGTCAATTGCTTTGAGTTTTCAGTATGTTTTGCCTCTAAGCCTCAAAAATATGTCCTCAAAATTTCATATTTGTGGCTCAAGTAGTTTTTGAGTAAATGGTCAAAATGTGGAGGCATGTCATATCAGCCCTATAGAAGAAAATGTCCATTTTTTAAGATCTTGTAACTTTGCAATTTTTCAGTCAATTGCTTTGAGTTTTCAGTATGTTTTGTTTCCAAGCCTCAAAAATATGTCCTCAAAATCTCATATTTGTGGCTCAAGTAGTTTTTGAGTAAATGGTCAAAATGTGGAGGCATGTCATATCAGCCCTATAGAAGAAAATGTCCATTTTTTAAGATCTTGTAACTTTGCAATTTTTCAGTCAATTGCTTTGAGTTTTCAGTATGTTTTGCCTCTAAGCCTCAAAAATATGTCCTCAAAATTTCATATTTGTGGCTCAAGTAGTTTTTGAGTAAATGGTCAAAATGTGGAGGCATGTCATATCAGCCCTATAGAAGAAAATGTCCATTTTTTAAGATCTTGTAACTTTGCAATTTTTCAGTCAATTGCTTTGAGTTTTCAGTATGTTTTGTTTCCAAGCCTCAAAAATATGTCCTCAAAATCTCATATTTGTGGCTCAAGTAGTTTTTGAGTAAATGGTCAAAATGTGGAGGCATGTCATATCAGCCCTATAGAAGAAAATGTCCATTTTTTAAGATCTTGTAACTTTGCAATTTTTCAGTCAATTGCTTTGAGTTTTCAGTATGTTTTGCCTCTAAGCCTCAAAAATATGTCCTCAAAATTTCATATTTGTGGCTCAAGTAGTTTTTGAGTAAATGGTCAAAATGTGGAGGTATGTCATATCAGCCCTATAGAAGAAAATGTCCATTTTTTAAGATCTTGTAACTTTGCAATTTTTCAGTCAATTGCTTTGAGTTTTCAGTATGTTTTGTTTCCAAGCCTCAAAAATATGTCCTCAAAATCTCATATTTGTGGCTCAAGTAGTTTTTGAGTAAATGGTCACAACGTGCAGACATGTCTGATAGAAGAAAATGTCCATTTTTAAAGGTCTTGTAACTTTGCAATTTTTCAGTCAATTGCTTTGAGTTTTTAGTATGTTTTGCCTCTAAGCCTTGAAAATATTCCCTCAAAATCTCATATTTGTGCTTCGAGTAGTTTTTGAGTAAATGGCCAGTATGTGGAGGCATGTTATACTTGACTTAATAGAAGAAATTTTTTAAAAATCCCAAAATTTATTCGAAATTGCGAAGAGCGAAATCCTATCCCAAAGTTCTTATAAAATTCCAACTGAAACCCTTCTGAAATTTCGAAATTCCAACCGAAATACTTCTGAAATCCCGAAATCCCAATAGATTTATCGGAATTCTCAAAATTCTTATTGAAGTTGAATATTTGAAATGTTTCGAAATCCTTTGGAAATTTAAAAATCGATTCAAAATCGCGAACAACGACATTCTATCCGAAATTCTTATGAAATCCCAATTGAAATCCTAACTGAAATCTGGAATTAAAACCGAAATCTCTTTGAAATGCTGAGATTTCAACCGAAACCCTTCTGAAAAACTAAAATTTCAATAGATTATCGATATCTTTAAACGTAGTATTGAAGTCGAATATCTGAAATATTTCGAAATCCTTTGGAAATCCCAAAATCCATTTGAAATTGCGAATAGCAAAATTTTATCTGAAATTCTTATGAAATCCCTCTTAAATCCCAGAATTCCAACTGAAGCCCTTCTGAAATTACGAAATTCTAATCAAAATCCTTCTGAAATTCCGAATTCCGAATAGATTATCGAAATCCTCTGAATGCAGGAAAATTCTTAAATGTAACTTTTCTGTATGTTTTTTTAATCAAATAATCTCATTTGCCCTATAGGTACCTACTTTAATAAATCTATAAGGAACATACATGGAAAAAGCTTCTGTTTATTTATTTTAAGGTTTTAATATTTTAACTTTTACACTAAATTTCCCTTGGCCCATAACCTAATGTGATTTCACTTTTAATTTCAGCCTAAAATGAATTTTTCCAATTACAGATTACAGAAAAATGCTCTACCCAAAGAAGAAACGTTTGTTGACTACGCAACCCGTCAATTTGGTTGTGTACCGTTCCTATTCGTACAGGTATTGCAGCCATTTTGACGAGTTTTGTGCTCAGCCTGTACTCATCAATCTACAGCCAATAATGGATACTTGTGCCGTTCATCAAATGGTTGTGAAATGTTAGTTTTCAATATTCATATCACAGCCAGCTTTGATGAGCGATACGACATCAATGGACAACGAGTTTTTGGAACGCAAAAAAAGTGCATTCTCGTGCTCTGTTTATGATTAAAACGTTGGGAAATTTATTCTGGAGAGCCGCGGACTGTAAACGCGTCGAAATTTGATCGCGGAACCATACAAAGGCAATATTAGATAAGGCACCTACCTTGGAGTTGCACAGGGTTGTGCTATGCGCTGGTGTTGGCGCCTCACAGGAGCTCCTGTTTCATAAACAATGTAATCCCACTGGTCACTTCGAAAACGGGTAGATAATTGAGTTTCTAATGAATATTTTTGGAGAGTTTTTGATTCAAAATATGTAGTCCTGGCTACGGACGCGCGACCTCGCACTACTCGAACTCGATTGCTTCGAAGGTCGTAGCGTATATATGGTGCCGAATGGTTTGAAATTGTATGGTTTTTTTTAATTTCAATATCGAATTTTAAATATACAAACAAATCCCCCTTTTTCCCAAACATTTGCACGAACATTTTCCGCCCACTTAAAACGGAGTTTTATTTCCCAATCCCAAATAAACATTAAAATGCTAAAATTCGCGAGTATAAAAAAAAACACGCGATAAGAACAAAATTCATATACTGCGGAAGCAAAACAACCTCGGATTCCCAAAAAAAAAAAAAACAAAAAAATTATTCAAAACAGCACGCGACATAAAGACCTTAATCTACGGATTAAGGAGTGAAATATTAGTTAGTCGGCAATGGACATAACTTAACTGTAGGACGCTTGAGTATCCCATGTTGTGTTTTTAAAGTAACCACTCTTACATGGCCATCTTTGCCTGGATGCAATGCGATTATGCGGCCCAAAGACCAATGCAGAGGGGACCTAGATTCATCCTTTATTAAAACTAAAGTATTGAGTTTCACCTCTGCAAAGGGAGTGGTCCACTTTGAGCGTTGCTGTAAAGTATGCAAATACTCGGCTTGCCATCTTTTCCAGAAATCGGAATTAAGGCGTTGCACTAATTGCCAACGGTTAAGTCTATTTAACTTTAAATGCGATAAATCGGGATCTGGACAGGAATTGAGGGGCTCCAGCGTCAAGAAATGACCGGGCGTTAATGGTTGCAAATCATTAGGGTCGGAACTCAGTTCGCTGATAGGTCTCGAGTTTAGCAAGGCTTCAATTTGAGTCAACAAGGTATACAATTCCTCATATGTCAGCACTTGATCACCAATGACCCTTTTTAAGTGGGTCTTGACCGACTTGACGCCTGCTTCGGCAAGGCCGTTAAAATGTGGGGAACCGGGACTATTTAGGTGCCATTTTATTTTTAGACTGCTAGCAGCGAATTTTGAAAGTTCCTCAAGTTGACCAACCGCACCTACGAAGTTGGAGCCACAGTCACTCAAAAGTTGTACACAGACTCCGCGTCTAGCGATAAAGCGTCGCAAAGCAGCGATAAATGCCTCGGTAGTGAGGTCAGATACAAGCTCCAAGTGAATGGCCTTAGTGGCACAACATACAAAAAGGCAAATGTAAGCTTTGGAAACTTTCGCTCCACGATGTTTACCAAGGGTTATCTTCAGAGGGCCTGCATAATCCAACGCGGAATATGAAAAACACTTGAGCTGGGAGGTTCTAAAGGAAGGGAGGTCACCCATATAGGGCGTAGAAGCCTTTGGTTTTAAACGAAAACACCTGATACATTTTGATAGAACCTTTTGGATAGCTCTACGGGCTGAAAGGATCCAAAACCTTTGGCGTAATAAATAGTGCAGTGTAGTCAGTCCGGGGTGAAAATTTTCTTGATGAGTTTGTTCAATTATTAAATCGGTGAGACGATGAGTACGGGGCAGAAGTAAAGGGTGTTTGGCTTCAAAGGAAATGTCTGAATTTCGCAATCTTCCGCCCACTCTGACAAACCCGCTAGCATCCAAAAAAAGGGCAAGCTTGCGAAAGGGTTTAGGCAACAGTTTATTGGTTTGAATTTGTATAATTAAGTCCGAAAACGATTGCTCTTGGACCCTCTTAACAAGTACTAGCAAGGTATCGTGAAGTTCTAGGGCAGAAAATGACCCAGAAAGTCGGTCACATTTATGATGAACATTGTAGGCTAGCCGAACAAAATGGGCAAGAATTTTAATAATTTTCGGTAAGGAAGAGTGCCTATTGATTAATTTTTCAAAGAAAGTCTTTCCTATTACTACCGACAAGACCGTGGGTTTCTCTTCTTCCCGTGCTTCTGTTTGCAGGTCTATGTGCTCGCTGTTGAACTCTCTAAGGTTCCACTGAGCGCGAGGTAAGGTTACCCACGGAGGACCGTGAAACCACAAAGAATGTTCCAATAAACCTTTAGGAGTTAGTCCACGACTAGCACAATCAGCAGGGTTGTCCAAAGATTGAACGTGAAACCAAGGTACATCCGGAATGGTTTCCTGAATATGGGTGACACGGTTTGCCACGAAACTTTTCCATCTATGCGGCGACGATGCCAACCATGCCAAAACTACTTGTGAGTCCGAGAAGGCGAATATTTCATCTATAGTGACAAGTGGCGAATATGTAGGGATGACAAAATTCAAAAGATCGGCTAGTAGGGTAGCTCCAAGGAGCTCTAAGCGAGGTATAGATTTGGTTTGAAGTGGCGCAACTTTAGATTTACCGCAAGTTAAGGAGGATCGAACATTGCCGTCGGTCAGCTCGATCCGAACATATACTGCCCCTGCATACCCAAGTTCTGAAGCATCACAAAATCCCAACAGTTGACACCGTTGAATATTATTTGAAAAATTATATCGGGGTAGAGAAATCCTTGACAAAGATGGAAATTCACTTTTGTATTGGTTCCAAAGATCAACAATAGGTTGTGAGGGCGTTTCATCCCAGGGAACCTTGTCCAGCCAAAGTTTCTGCATAATAGTTTTTGCTAAGAATGTTACTGGCGCAATAAACCCCAAAGGATCAAATACACGCGCTATTTCTGAAAGGATATTTCTTTTGGTACATGGCTTAGGAGAAGGGTGACATGAATAAGAAAAAGTGTCGGAAGTTGGACTCCATTGAAGCCCCAGCACTTTAATCGAAGTGTTGTCCTCCTCCTCGAATGAAACTGACATTTGACAGTCAGAGGGTTCTAAAGAAGAAAGGAGTTGGGTTTCATTACTTGCCCACTTTCGAAGTTCAAAACCTCCAGTTCTTAATAAGGCTATTAACTCCTTTTGTAACACTTTGGCTTCCTCAATGGTAGAGGTTCCTACGCAAATATCGTCCATAAAGATATTTTCATGTAGTACTTGAGATGCCTTAGGGTACGTTTTCTTTTCCAGATTCGCAAGTTCCTGTATTGTACGAATAGCCAGGAAGGGGCTGGAGCTTATCCCAAAAGTGACACCATTGAGGCGATACTCCCGAAGTGGTTCCTTAGGGTGAAAGCGCCAGAGCAACCTCTGGAAATCGCGGTGACTAGGGTTAACTTGAATTTGCAAATACATCTGTTTTATGTCGGCCAGAAAAACGACAGCATAAACACGAAACTTTAACAGGATTTCCTGAATATCTGTCTGGAGCTTCGGACCTGTCAAAAGTGTTTGGTTTAAATTAAGGCCTCTTGATCCTTTCGCGGATGCATTAAAGACAACCCTTAGTTTGGTGGTTGCCTTTTCCGGTTTCAGCACGCAATGATGAGGCAGATAATTTACAAGTGCTGGTTTTGGTTGATCATTGGGAATTATAGACATGTGATTATTTTTTAGATATTCGTGCATGAAGTTAGAATATAAGGCATAGAGTTCGGGATTTTTCAGTAACCTGGATTCAAGTGACATAAAACAACGATAGGCTAAAGAGAAAGTGTCACCCAAATCTGGCTCTGCGTGCCGAAAGGGCAGATTCACAACAAAACGACCCGAAGATTTATCTCGAATAGTAGTGGTTTTGTAAATTTCTTCGCACCTTTGATCATCGGGCGACAGATGGATTTTAGATGGTATTGATTCTATTTCCCAGAACCGTCTAAGACTTAAATCCAAAGATGGCACCATTACTGCAAAGTAAGTATGAACAGAACTCGAAGCGGGGAAACGATTCTCGGTTTTCCCTAACAAAACCCAACCAAAGACGGTTTCGAAGGCAGTTGGTTGTCCTGGATTTCCTAGTTTCTTCCCCGATGGTTTAAATATCTGCGCACACATATCGGCTCCTAATAACATGTCTACCGCTGCAGGTATGTGAAACTGGTCATCTCCTAGCTTAAGATTGGAAATATGCTCCCAACCTTGCGGGTTTATTTTAATCGAAGGCATTTCAGAACAAAGTTTAGGCAAAACAAAGGCATCAAAGAAAAAGTTTGGACTGGCTTGTCCCTTAGGGCGAATGTTACAATGTGTTATGCCGTTGCTGGCCGAACAGGACTCATTAAGGCCCAAAACAGGTATATTTAAAGACTCTCTAGCCAACCCCAAACGGTTCAAGCAAGTTTGGGTAATAAAATTGGCCTGACTGCCGTTATCCAAGATTGCTCTCACAACCTGGTAGTTACCTCTAGCATCCAAGATCTCAACCTTTGTAGTTGATAGCAGAACGGTAGTAGAACGTGATGCAGCAACTGACAGAGCAGTGCAAAGTCCGTTGGAGGAGATGGATTGCCAGTTATGCATGCTTGCGACAACGTTGAGGACTGATTACTGCTGGTAGCCGGTGGACTTGAATTCCTGGAAGTAGCAGAATTTGTGCTCGAGTGAAGAGGATCTGTCTGTGGAAGATGCAGCATAGTATGATGTCTATAACGACAGATGCGGCAATTGAAGGATGAAGGACAATGCCTTAGCAAATGATTAGGACGAAGACAGTTTAAGCATGCGTTTATCTGCTTGACAAACGCGAATCGATCTGCAGGTGATTTTGCTATAAA